GAGACACGGTAATGTTTTGTGGAAACAAATCACTTGCTTTCATCTCAAGAGCAACAGTGATTGCGCTGGGGGAGTGCGCTCTATTTTTCATGTCTCAGTCTTTCTTATTATTTAAATTAATGTGAGTTGCAGTTGTCACAAAAGTGAAGGATTGACGGCAATTAAGTAGAGCAGGCTTGGCGCAAGGAGGTTCTGCGCAAGCCTGTCCTACCTAGCTCTGGCACTGTGCCTTGTCTGGGTCTTGAATTCCCACAGCAGCTCTGCCCTGCAGCACTCCCAGCCCAGGGTGCCCTACAGCATTTCTGCCCTTAACCTGCTCCTGCCTTGCATGCCACCAGCTCTTCCAGTGTCAGCTTCTTGAGAGGAAAGGCTACCAGTTAGTTTGGGGGTTGTTATCTGCCTTCAGTGGCACGTAAGATGAGATGCTGCACTGGCATCAGGCTTGCCCTGCGGATGTGAAATGTAGAGGAAACAAATAGTTTAAGTCATTCTTCTCAGAGCTCGTTTCCAGCTCTCCAGAATCTGGCCCTGGCATGGGTAGGGCATCCTACCTCTCCAGGGATAGTGCAGTGGGGTACTACACTGTGCTTCCTTTCATGTCAGTCTCTGTTCCCCATCCAGGGGGATCTTAGGACAGGGTAATGGATACCCCATATCACATTTACACTGTAAGGGGTAAAACATCTGGCGGTTTTACCTCTTTCAGCAGTACCAGAAAGCCTGGCAGTGCTTTCCCATGGTTACTGCAGCCAGAAAGGTCCAGCAGCAGCCTGGTCTCTCCTGGAGGGACGAGTTGTTAGGCTGAATATGAAAAATGCCTTAAAACCCTGTTTAACTATACTGCTTCCCCTGCTGTGGGTCTGTAGGCTGTGGGTTTGCCTGTGCTAATGGTTCACAGAGGCCAGACACAAGTCAGTTTTCCAGTTGAGGGCACGAGAGATAGCTGGGCTAAAGAAGGCTGTGACACCCATAAGATTCTGGTCCCAGCGGGTTTTATTCTCAGCAATCCTTCTTCCAGCAGCCTGGGAACTGTGAAACATAACACAACCCACACATGGGAAAAAATAATAAGGTCAAAGCTTCTCATTTTAAGACTGTCCTAAAAAGGTGTGTGCAAAGTAATGACAAGTGCCAAGGAGGCAATGCTAACTGTTGCTGGTGCTGACAGTTTTGGCATTTTAACATGCTGGCTTGACACCCTGAAAATTAAAAGTCTCTGACTTTTTATCTGAGTGAAATTACTGTCCACTAAGATCGAGTCATTTTTAATGCTGGCTGGCTTTGGATTCTACGCAGACGAAACCAAACCAGGCTTTAAATTCACCGGGAAATTATTTCCTGCCCTGTTCCACTTCCTCTCAGCCTTTCTTTTCCCTCTGACCAACATGGGAGTTGATGGGAACCAGCCATTAAACTCCTAACAGGATTTCAGCCTTGGATGCCCTTTTCGCACACATCAGAAAAAGTGGCGAGTCAGATACAACCATCTGGACACATTCTCCTTCTCCTGGGTGTTTGGTCTGCATGGTCAGATCTGTTTCTATTTGCTGAGTTTACTTGATCCTCTGCAAACTAAAATGGCTTGACGGCTTTGAAAGTGGCAGGGTACACATGTCCTGGCTGCAGCTCTGCTGCTGGTGCCCCGTGGTGGCTTTCGCTGCTCTCTCCTCGGCTGTGTTTTGGCTGTCATCATGTTGTTCTGCTAGGACCTCAGACTGACCTACAGCTCCATCTGCTAGTCCTGCTTGAACTTAGTCCTACTTACTGCGTGATCTTGCCCAGTGGTTCTACTCTTGGGCTCTGCTTACTCGTGTTTGCCAACACACCAGAAAAGCTGTGCTGGGGATGCTCCAAAGTCACTGTCCTTGTATCCCCTGACAAAGCAGCTGGGATGCAACTCTTGCAAGAACAGCAGCCTCTGTTCTTCTTTCCCAGAATAAGCCTCTCTGTCCTCTCCAGTGCGTGTTGGTCTGGGGTCTGACACACAGTACGTGCTGCAGGTATGCTGCTACGGGACTGAGCTGTTGCTTTGGTCCCTGTCGTAAGAGTTGGGATTTCAGTGCCGGAGCTTGCAGGGCTTTCCCAGCCTGCAGCTCAGCTGGTGGGGAGCGATGGGTCAGTCTGTCCTGACCCATGAGACAGAGCACTCCCATCATCCAATGGGACAGAAAGGAGAAGGTGCTTCCGAGTCCTGCGCCTCAGTGCTGTGCCAGATCTCAGCATGGTGCTGCACGCTGCCTCCCGCTTTGGTGTGCCATGAAACACAAAGCCACGAGCTTCCTTTGGAGGAGGCAGGGAGTGTGAATATCCCAACTAGGCATTTCCTGTCTGCTGCCCTTCATGCACTCTCAGGGCATTGGTTGGCAAAGGTATTTGCTCACTTTCAGAGGCCACTGTGTGTTGTTTTGTACCTGCTGTGCAGAATGGGGGTGTGATAAAGGGGGAAGGGGCACAAAATGGATCTACAGTCAGGGAAACTCTCGTGTAACCCTCAGTATGGTGGGATCAAATTCTTCTACAGCATCAGTGTCTCCAACAATGTTTATTTGTTCTGTTGCCTCCTACCTCTTCTTAATGTGTGCAGACTCCCTGCGTGCCATCGGCAGGGGGTAATGTAAAATGCAGCAGGGCTTGCGTTGGTCAGGGGACTTTGCTTTGAGTGGGAGGGGTTGATTTTTCTGCTGTGCTTTGCTTTACCCAGCATTGTGCTGCTAGGGAGGTGTCCCTGCTCCGACATTCCTTCCCTCCAGGGAAGGGGACCCTGGTGCAGTCAACCATCCCCCAACATTCCTTGCTTTGGTTGCTTCACCATGAGCTGATCAGCCATCAGTTCTAGCTCTGGAGCAGCAAAACAGCTTCCAAGGTCCCTTCTCCTTCCTTTCTTGTGCCTGTTAGAGCAGGTTGCTGAGGGCCTCATCCAGGTGAGTTTTGCATATCTCCAGGGATGGAGTTTCCACTACCTCTCTGGGGAACCTGTTCCTGTCTTTGACCTCCCCAAAGTAAAAGCTTTTTTCTCGTTTTGAGTCAGAATTTTCCCCACGTTGAAGTCCTCACCAGGGACTGTGATTGTGAGGCTGCTTCTGTCTGTCTGAAGCAGTCTTCCCACTGCCTCTCCTTCACCCAACGGTTGGTAGCAGACACCAGCCAACAGGGATGGCACTCTGATATCCTCTGATCCTTACGCCGAGGTCCCCAGCTGGTTTTCTGCCCAGAGCTGGGTGCACTCCAGACACTCCTTTGCAGAGAGAGCACCTCATTTCCTCACCTTTCCAGCCTGTTTCTCCTGAAAAGCCTGTATCCATCCCACATGGCACTGCCAGCCCTGAGAACTTTCCCACCACAGCTCTGTCATCCCAATGGGTCTGTAACACTGTGAATCTGCATGAACATCTAGTTCCTCCTGGTGTTTTCACTGTGATACTTGCATTGGTGCACAGGCATTGGAGATGGGCCCCCAGTTGCCCTGCTTTCACGAGGGGAGTGCAAAAACCTTCCTTGTTGTGTTGGCCCCCAGCTGCTTCCTCACTGCCCTCTGTGCTGTCGCTTCTCCCCAGATTATGGCGATCATTCCCCAAAATGCCTAGCTTGGATGCCTCTTTGTCTAGGTGAGTGAGCCTGTCAGCAAAGACGTGTCTGCCTCACTTTGTTCAACAGGTCCTGCTCGGGAGCTTCTGTTCCTCCAAGGGGGTCCCGTGGTCATAGATGCTGAAGTGTTGTCCATGAGTCTGGGGCCTACAGAGAGAGGCTAATGAGCTGTGGGTTGTAAACAATATTCCTGTGAATCCAGCAACGCAGCTGGAAGCGGTGACTTGCTCTCTTCAGGCCTCATTTCCTTTTCCCCACCTAGCTCGTAAGGCTGCTTTGCCTCCAAAGGACCATCAGCCACTCCTGCCAAGGAGGGGGGGAAGGGGAGGCTGCTGCCTGTTTACTCTGTGGTAAGCAAAGCAGAAAATGATGTTGTTTCATTCCTCGCTACACACAAATTCAGAAGCTGAAAAATACTTAAAAAAAAAAAAATTAGAAGATTCCTTTTTAGCCAAACTCCCTCACCACCTCTGGGGTGTGAGGCATGGATATGAGGATGGAGAGACTGCAACAGCCTGGTCTGCTTCGAGGCTGATACACCGGCATGCTCCACATCTGGAGGTACCTGTTCAGCTCCCAGTGTGGTCCCTTTGGACCCATGTCACAAACTCAGTTAGCTTGGGAGGTCTTTAAGGTTCCAGAATGCCTGAGCCATGCTGGTTTTGTGAATCTTTAAAGACCCTACCATGCTTTTTGTGCTGTGCTGTGTGAGGTGCATTCAGACCAATGCTCCCTATTGTGGGTGGCCCATGGGGGATCCCTCTTGGCTGAAACATGTTGTGGAAAACTTCCTTCCCGCTGTCGCTGTTGTGCCTTCCCTCAGCAAACACCCCTTAGCCGTGACGCACGTCCCCGTTTCTCAACTCGTCACGGCCGTTGCAACAGAAGTGAGCTTAACAGCTCTCCAGTTAAATTCCAGGCGAGCATTTGGCTGTGTGAGCAGCAGGGCAGAGTCCTGGCTGGCAGCGTTGGTTCTGTCTGCCTGTGGGAGGTAGCAATAACCAACACACCCTCTGAGTCCATGCCTTGAGGCTTGACACCCTGCAAGAGGGTACAGAACTGTGTCTGCGACTGTTTGGAGTGTAAAAATTAGCTGGGACGGTGCTTGGAGCCTGCCGACTCCTTCCGTAAAGTCCTGGGGAAGTCAGGCAAGGTTTTAGAGGTTGTTTTATGAAGGTTCCCAAACCTGTCCAAACACAGAGCATCGCAGTTGCAGCAAAGGACGTTTCTACCTGCAGATTCTTAAGCAGCCGTACATATTATCCAGATATTGTTCAGAAACCCAGGCAGGAATGAGTGCAGCCTGAGAGGAGTCTGTGGCTGCCTCTGGCTAATAGGTGGACAGGTTAATGAGTCAGACAGGCTGCCCTCTAGAACCCTGGGTAATGAGGTCCAACTTTCTTTTGTCTTCACAGTTCCACCAAAGATCTCCAATATCTCCTCGGACATCACCGTGAATGAGGGCAGCAACGTGACCCTGGTTTGCATGGCAAATGGGCGTCCTGAGCCTGTCATCACCTGGAGGCACCTTACCCCAACAGGTAAGAGACCCGACTGGACCGGGCTGTGCTGGTGATTTGTGAACTGTGCAGTTGTTTCCTTCTCTTCCAACATCAATAGAAAATTTCAGTAGCAATACAGACAGCAGTAAAAAAGTGGCAGGAGTCTCAAATGCACTGCAAACATGTTTTGCGGTGTGATTTCCAAGGCACGACGACCAGGTTGGCTGAAGGAACAAATGAAATTACTCCAGTAGATGCTTTACGGAATTGGACCTATAATTCTGTTTAGCTTTGGTCTTCATCTAGTTGTCCCAGTCTCCACTGCTGGTAATGCAAGGCACGGTGTTGGACACAAAACACTGCTGGTGCCAGAGAGAGAGAGGAAAGGATTTCTGGTTAGATATTTCACAGAAGAGGTTCTTTCTGGAAACCATGGAATTTGCCTTTCCCTTTTAAGGCAAATCAGTGGGAAACAAACAGTGGCACAGATGATTTCATATTTCTCCACTTTGGCAGACAGTGTTCCTGTGTCTTGCGAGGTGAGTAAAGAAGGCGTTTGATCTGCAGGATGAGTGAAGAGCAGGTTGGAGGCAGAATAAAGGAGAACTCACCAGCTTTGTTCTGCTCTCTAACTGTGCCTTCCATGCTCAAGGATGTGGCAAGCTTGGAAGGAGAATATCCTTTTGCTAGTCAGACTCCATGGGGTGAGCATCTTGGGTTGCAAGGAAACCTTCACCCCTAAAGAGCTATCAGTAGGATGGGAACAAGAGGTAGGATTCTCTTCCTCTCTCTTATGTCCTTTGAGGACAGAACTCTTTGTCTGTTTTCTTTTGCTGTCAGATATTCTTCCGTCTAAAATGCATAAGGAAAGCATTGATTAGCTCTATATGAATAGTTTTCTGTGATATTCCCATATATGTAAAGGGTCAATGAGGGCTTAAGGTAGACAAAGTACAAGCTTTCTGCACGTGCTATGGACAGTCAAGCTACTGCAGTTTGGCAGCCAGCAAAGGGGAGAGCATTGCAGAAAGAAGGTAGGAGAGAGACAAGCAGAACGACACACTGGAACAGAGCTCAATCCAAGGGCTGCATCCAGAAGCCCCTGGATTTGGGGCCCGTGGTTCGGATTGGGGTTACTCAGATTTCCTGTCTTTATCCCTTCGGCCAAACCAAAGTCCTCCTGGGCATTCGTGTGGATGAAAGTCAAATTTGCAGTTTGTATTTCTGGCCCATTTCTTGCAAGAGCAAAAGAAAGAAGGTGGGGAAAGACTGCCAGGAAGAGGTGGGAGGAACAGAGCTGATGAAGGGAGTGCTACTCCTCTGTGGTATCATCATCACTACCTGACTTTCCTCTTCTGCTATTTTCAGTATTAATCATGACTGTGCCATTTGCATATATAGGGAAATAGAACCTATTTTTTTCTATTTTAATTATATATATATAATCTTCTAGCTCTGGCATTTCTGCTTTTAAGATATCAAATCTTCCATCTTACTGCTGCATCAGTCTTTCAGTTCTCCATCTACCTCTTTGTTGTGTTCAAGTAGGAGACACTCCCTAGCTCTTCTGTGAGCACAGCCTAACATTGTTCAAGTTAAGGGTGTTATGAGGATACTAGCTTACATCTTCGGGAAAACAAAGGCCTAGTGTACCTGAGATGTGTTGTTCAGGGCAGTAATGAGAAGATTCTTGTCCTGACTCAGCACTTTGGCTGCATGTTTGTGCTTTGTCTTTTTCCCAGTTGTACTGCCTACTCCATTGTATCAGACACAGACTTCTTTTCTCCTTTTTAAAAAGGCTGCTCAGAGCAAATCTTCATTCTATCCCCTGTGGTGAGCAACAGGACTGGGAAACCCCATCCCAGCTTTGATTCCAGGGTCAGTTTTCCTGGGTCCATTGTTCAGTTTTCCAGCATGCCCCTTCACACTTTTTCTCTGGTGCTGTGTGTTTCAGAGGTGTTGCCTTGTTAGCTTCCATCAGCGCCATCTCACTGAGCTCCTTCCAATCCATCCTCAGTCCTCCCTTCTCCAGTGAAGCCTGCCAAGCACCCACTCCCTAAACAACTAGAGCCAGGGATAAAGGGCGGGCAGTTCCCAGTCTGTCACCTCCGTGTCTCACTGCTTGTTGTTCTCTCTCTTTTTCCCCCGTCTCAACCCATCTGTTATCTTTTGTGCATACAGAGGAACTGCTTTCAGGCAGACATTGTGTCTTTGCGCAGTCTGTAGCCCGATAAGGCACTTCTCCCAAAATGGGGGACAGAAGGGCTTCTTTCAAATATTTACCTTGAGGTTGACAATTAATATAAATTCCAGTTCTATTCCAGAGCTGTTGCAGTTAGAAATATGTCTTATCTTGGAATCTCCCTTTTCCAGAACTGTAAGGCATTTTGGCTTCTTTTATGCTAGTTTTGAAGACATCTGCTGTTCATCAAAGAGCTATTTTAGATCATTGTAAAGGTTTCTAAAATATCTCTCTCTCCTTGGATTTTTTTCGTGGCTAAACTTGTGACTGCAGAACTGGAAGAATGAGTGTTATTGAGCTTGTGTAGGAGGTTTTGAATGGACAGGTTGTGAAATTAAACCAGCATTGGGGGGTGAGAGGGCCAAATTACTTTTCCTTTGTGCACTCTCCGCAAGGAGTTCATTAGTGAATTTGTCTGCTGTTTCTTTCATTCACTGACTTCGTCAATAGTGTTGTTTGGCTAATTACCTGAATTAGGACCACAAAAATGGTTTATTTCTTTTTGGCTGGGAAGTGTAACATACAAATACAAAGGGAA